CTTTTTGAGATAAGAATACAAATTTGAATTGATTTATTCTTTTTAAACAATACATTAGTGTTACCCTAACCCTTGCAGAGCAGTGGGAGCCCCACTTCAAGGGTGGATTTCTGTTTCCTCACAGTTCAGCTTTAACTCTGACCTACAAAGCCATTCACAACGCCGCCCCAAACTACATAACTGACCTGATACCCAAATACTTCCCTACCCGTGCCCTCCGCTCCTCACAGGACCTCCTACTCTCTAGCTCCCTGGTCTCCTCCTCCCACGCCCGATTGCAGGACTTCTCTAGGACTTCCCCCATCCTCTGGAACTCCCTACCCCAATCCATCAGACTGTCACCTACCCTCCTCACCTTCAGGCGCACCCTGAAAACCCTCCTCTTCAGAGAAGCCTACCCCAACCTCACCTAACACCTGACCTCACCTAACAACTAACCTCCTCCACTCCTCCCACCACTCCATCCCCCACAGCCTTTTCCTCCTGTACCACCTTCCCCTCCCTCCTAGATTGTAAGCTCGAAAGAGCAGGGCCCTCGAACCCCTCGTGTATTGTATTGTTACTGTCTTGTCTCATGTTCTGTCCCCCCTGCTACTGTACAGTGCTGAGCATACCCTTTGGCGCTATATAAATACTGTATAATAATAATGTGGCACTGTCATGATAAAAGTATGGGAACTGCCATGACTGGTCTTTTTTTGTAAATGCTAGTTTCCTTTCTGTGTCTGGCTTCAATGTCTTAGAGTCTCTGACCTGCTTTTGGGCACAGCGTTGGATTGAAATTGGGCTTAGGTAACTATAAGAAGGGGCTGGAGGGCAGCTGCATCCAGAAGGTTTTACCTTCATGCAGAGAATGTCTTGCTTGCCTTTAGGACCACTTTAAACTTCAGATTTATTGACACTGACTTAGATGGACTATTCAGATATTCCAGTGAGGATGCACAATTCATGAAAAAATGGAAAGGATTCAATGGTTCTGTGGTACTATTTTGGTCCTTGGAGTAATGCATGTTTATGGGCATTACTGAAATTATAAACGTTCTGATGACTCCTGCTGCCTCAGAAACTGTAAAAAGGATAGTGGGGGACAGGATAAATTGTTAATAAGTAATCTCTTTACTGGGAACCAACACATTCTATATAGTCTAAGACACCACATATAGGGTTAGCAACCCAATCAAGAGAATATAATTGTCTGTGTCCCCATTTAGGACATTCACCCCCTCTTTTTTTTTTTCTAGTAACCATTGTCACCGGAACTGTGAGGCAAAATCTGAAGCAGGAAGTCTTCTAATGGGGACACTTGTTGCAGTGACAACTGCCTAATACAGTTTGGAATTCTCACTCTGGAGAAATTTTTATCGCTTTATTGTTGAGTCTGCAGAACAAAAAGTGATAGAAAATTTCACCTATGGAACACAGAAGGCAAAAGAAGGGATTTAACCATTCTCTGTACCAAAACTAAAAAATAAAGTTTTGCCTTTCGGTTTCCTTTAACACGGTAGTAAATCACAAAAAAAATAAATCTACAAAGACTTCTCTCTGCAAGTTAATAATATAATGTGCTAGTATGCTAGTGCGCATGCATGTCACGGTCACTGCTACAGTACATATCTTCTAAATGGTGCACGTTTACTAGATATTTACAGTACCTACAGGTAAGCCTTATTGACCACTGCCCTCCGGAAGGTTTACCCCGCTTCCTGACCAGGATAACACAACCCCCCCCCCCTTTTTGGAAAGTATGCACACATTGGAATTTAACAAGAGGCACTGTGAGCATTTGCAGATCTCATTTTTTCTCACAAGGTTTTGAAAAAGAAAAAACAAAAGAAAAAATATGTTTTCGTTTTCTTTCTTAATTTTTCAGAAATTTGTGGCAACAGACGAGATCTTCAAAATACTTACCACGCCTCTTTTCAAATTCCTTGGGGTGTCTACTTTACAAAAAGGGGTCATTTTGGGGGGGGGGGGGTGCGGTTGTACTATTCTGGCATTTCAGGGCCTCCAAAACCGTGATAGGTAGTAAGGAAGTGTAATAAAAACCCTTTAAAAGCCTGAAGATGCTTATTGGATTTTGTGGTCCATACGCAGCTAGACTGCCAAAAAATCTCTTGCATGTGATATCTTCATGCTCGGGAGAATTGCAGAATTTATTTTGGGGAGTAATTCTATATATACCCATGGCATGTTTGAGCAATATATCATTTAATTCACAACTTTGTGCAAAAAAAAAAAAAATTTGGTCACTTTCCAAAAATTGTGGTAAAAAATAAATTCTTCTATTGGCTCAACATGCCTCTCAGCAAATAGTTTGGCGTGTCTACACTCCAAAAAGGGTCATTTGGGGGAGGGGGGGTTGTTATCTTGGCATTTTATGCACAGCATTAGAAGCTTATGCCACTCATCACTCACTCTTCTAACCACTTGAAGACCAAGCCTTTTCTGACACTTTTTGTTCACATGTGAAAATCAGTATTTTTTGCTAGAAAATTACTTTGAACCCCAAACATTATACGTTTTTTAAAGCAGATGCCCTAGAGAGTATAATGGTGGGTGTTGCAATTTTTTAATGCACATAGTACTTGCGCAGTGATTTTTCAAACAAAAATTTTTTTAAAACAATGCACTTTTTAAAATTTGAATGCACAAAACACAATATATTGGCCAATTGTTTGGTATATTATAAAAGATGATGGTATGTCGAGTAAATAGATACAAACATGACAAGTTTTAAAACTGCTCACACCCTGTGCAATGGCAACAAACTACATACATTTTTATTATCCATAGACGATGCTTTAAAAGCCTTTACAGGCTACCATTTTAGATTTACACAGGAGGTCTAGTGCTAGAATTACTGCCATCAATGACGTTCATAGTGATACCTCACATGCATGGTGCAACTGCTGTTTACATATCGACATGGGGCCGACGCTTGCGTACACCGTTGCACGCTCGCACGGGGAGACAAGGGTGCTTTGTTTGTTTGTTTTTTTATTTTTTAAAATTACTTTTACACTGTCCCTTTCTTTTTTTTTATCACTTTTATTGTTATCACAGAGAATGTAAATATCCACTGTGATTGGAACTAGGCAGTAACAGGTACTCTTTTCTGAGAAATCTGAGGTCTCTTAGACTCTAGATATCTCCTCTGCCATTAAATCATCTGCTTTCACCAAAATCGGTGTGATCAGATGCTTTCCCAATTTAAAAATGGCGCTGTTTAGATCTGGCAAAACCAAAGTGATGAAATGCTCGTAGCTTGCGGTTTTCTATAGAGATGATTGGCCCCATTCCGGTCTCCAATCAGCTCTGTGGTCAGCTGGAGGAAATGCCGGCTGCATTCTCACGTTGCCCGAAGGCACTGGACTGCCCGAGAAAGTCATGGAAAGCAGCAAAAGGGGGGGCATCTCCTCACGCCACTTGTAAAAGCAATCCTGTGGCTAATTAGCCACTAGGATTGCTTTTACATGAAATCCGATCGCTGGCTGAAAACAATTATACCAGGATAATGCCTGCAGCGGCCCCCACGCCGGAAATGACGTCACCGCGTTAACGGAAGCTTCTCCCCACGTACCAGCGCTTTGCGTCACGCTCAGCACGTGACTTCATCAGGGCATTTTGGCCGTTAAAGGATTGTCACGTGTGAATCACGCACACTGCACATTACTTTTGCATGAAGAGTGGAGTGTGAAGACCATCACTAAGCATTGCATCATCATTATTATTATCAATTGTTTGGACTTTTCTTGCAACTGAATATTGGTTCATCTTTTTTTGAGCACTGTATGTGTCTTGCCACCATATTGTTTATGATTATATTTGTCACTTTTTGCACTAGATATTCCCTATGAGGGAATACACGCATGACACTATTATATATTTACTGATTACTTTGGATTTATTTTTAGGGGTATATTGAATCATGTATTCATTGGATATCTATATTTATATATTATTTATTAGCGCTGCACTGTTTATTTTAAATAAGCCATTTTCTGTGCAGGCTGGTATCCAAGCCTTATGGGCTTTGGGGGGGGGGGGGATATCTTTCATTTCTGTGTACCAGGGAAAAGCAGAGAGCTCTGGTGCGGTTTAGAAAAATGCAGATATGCTGCATGCATTTTTCACTTTGTACTGCTTCTGATCTGCCACCTACATTCTAGTGTGAACTGTGTGCCTTTGCCAAAACCATTCTTTTTCTAAAGCATAAGGGTGAACCAGCCCTTAAAACGTAAATAAACCCAAAAACAAAATCTTAATATACTGTAGCTTACCAATCATTGGATGTGGTGGCTGCAGGGGTGGACTGACCATTTGGAAACTCGGGCACCGCTCGAGGGCCCGGGGTCAGTAGGGGGCCCCATGAGATGCCCCTGGTACCTTTTTCATAGGCTTTTTTGAGTTTGGGCAAGGACACAGGGGCCCCATGATCCCCTATTGCCCGGGGGCCCCATGAGTTGTCAGTCCGCCCCTGGGTGGCTGCAATCTGCAATAGTTTTCTTTTGTTCAAGCTTTTATTCCTTTATTTTCATCTAGTGATTGGGCAGTAAGACAGTTGCCTTGGGGTGTCTTACTTTCACTCCTCCACTATATGTATGGAGGAGCAATGTAGCCACTCTTGGACAGCAGTATTGTAGATTTAGATGACTTTTCTGAAATCTATCTAACAGTTTCTAAGCTATTGCATAAATATATTTTTGTCCTTTTGGGATAAATGCAAATTTTACATAAAAGCTGACCATTGTATGCACCCGTCAGTGTTAATTGGTTTGTCTCAGCCTTCTAACTGTACACCTTTGGCTGGACAGCTTGGTTTGTTAGAGGAAGTTGAACAATAACAGACCTACTGGCCAGATCAGCAGGTAATAAACTATGTTACAGGACGACTCTGTAAAATCAAGACTTCTGTGTTAACGCAACTGACAGACTGTATTATATATGTCACCTTTTATTTTGGCCACAGCAGACAAGAGCTAACAGAACTAGAAAGATCAATGGTGAATATAATTCAGGTCTTCCATTCTTATTCTGGAAAAGATTGTAAACTGAAGAAAAAAGATCTGAAGGAGTTAATTAACTCACAGATGTCCTCATTTGTCAAGGTGAGTAGAATAATTCTGTATTTTCAGAATGTTACAAGGCTCCTTTCATGTGGAGTGCTCAGCAGGGGGTCGTTACGCATGTCTGCCTGAAAAACTGAAAAGCAGACTTGATCATGTGAAAGGACCCTTTGTGTAGAACACTCAGAGTATCTGATAAGAAATGCACTCATTGGGGTTGATTTACTAAAACTTTAGAGTGCAAAATCTGGTGCATGGTAACCAATCAGCGTCTAACTTCAGCTTGTTCAATTAAGCTTTGAGAATAAAACCTGGAAGCTGATTGGTTTCCATGCAGACCTGCACCAGATTTTGCACTCTCCAGCACACACGTGTTAAAATGCCAATTAGAGGTTAATGTCCCACATCTGTGGCTTTTTAAATTGCAATTAGTGTCAATGTATAAATAGTCAATGAGTTTGTTTGCTCTTACGTGGAACCACTGAATAGGCTAGATACTGAGCACGGGGCTCAGAAAAGAACTTTCAAAAGTCCTGCGTAACAAGGTAATGGAACTTTATGAAGATGGAAAAGGACATAAAAAGATGTCCAAAGCCTTAAATATGCCAATCAGTGCTGTTAAATCACTTATTATGAAGTGTAAAGTTCAGGGATCTCTTGATACCAAGCCAAGGTCAGGTAGACCAAGAACGATTGCAGCCATAACTGACAGAATAATTGTCTGGGATTCAAAGAAAAACCCACAGGCAACCTCAAAAGAAATACAGGCTGCTCTGGAAAAAGATAGTGTGGTTGTTTTGAAGGAGTACAATACGGTGATACTTGAACAAAAATGAGCTGTTTAGTCGAGGTGCCAGAAAGAAGCTTTTACTGCACCAATGCCACAAAAAAGCCTGGTTACAATATGCCTGATAACACCTTGACATGCCTAACCAGGCCTCTTTGTGTCATTGATGCAGTAAAGGCTTCTTTCTGGCACCTTGACCATGCAGCTCATTTTTGTTCAAGTGTCATCATATTGAGCTCCTTCAAAACAACCTCACTGTCTTTTTCCAGAGCAGCCTGTATTTTTCTTGTGGTTACCTATGGGTTTCCCTTTGTATCTCGAACAATTCTTCTGGCAGTTGTGCCTGCAATCTTTCTTGGTCTACCTGTACTTGGCTTACTATCAAGAGATCCCCGAACTTCCCACTTCTTAATAGGTGATTTAACAGTACTGATAGGCATATTCAAGGCCTTGGACATATTTTTATGTCCTTTTACATCTTTATAAAGTTCCATTACCTTGTTACGCAGGACTTTTGACAGCTCTTTTCTGATCCCCATGGCTCAGTATCTAGCCTAGTCAGTGCTTCCACGTAAGAGCTAACAAACTCATTGACTATTTATACACTGACACTAATTGCAATTTAAAAAGCCACAGATGTGGGACATTAACCTCTAATTGGGATTTTAGCCCATGTGTGTCACCTTGTGTGTCTGTACCAAGGCCAAACATTCCAAAACATTCCAGGGTATGTAAACTTTTGATCATGGCCATTTGGGTGATTTCTGTTATCATTATGATTTAAAAAGGAGCCAAACAACTATTTGATAATAAATGGCTTCATATGATCATCATTCTTCAATAAAAGAGAATTTTGTGGCATGATCAGTCATACTTTCAATATCAATGCCAAAATTTCACAATTTCTGCCAGGGTATGTAAACTTTTGAGCACAACTGTATAGACCAAGGCTGAAGCTCAGGCATGGCTTTTTTGCATTGTTATATTGGTCCAGTTTGGTCCAATGTAAGTATGCATGTGTCATAGCTGTGGATTCCTGTGCAAGCTGGAAATCAGTGTAGTATACACCTCTACTCCAGTGATCACTGCTAGGTTTGGTTTCTGTGCCATTCAGAGAGGACTTTGTATTCTCACAATGAATGCAAAGTGTTCTCTGACTGGATAAGGTGGGGAGGCAGGAAAGCGATGTGTGAGAAAATATAGAGCGCTCCCTAAATGGCATCTCTGTGACCCTCTCTATTCACTATGCAACAAGGCAGCCCCCTGTGTTCACTATGCAGCACAGGACCCAGAAGTCAGAAGCAATCACTGGGGTAGTAGTGCCTACTACAGTGATTGTAACCACTTTGCGCCGGCGCCTCCTGGTTCTTTAACAGTTTCAGAAGCTGGGAGGCGGGTGGGGTTTTAGGGTCATGTGACTGCCGTGATCCGCTGTCACGATGGTCACATGATCGGAAAAGGCCCCGATCGAAAGGGGAGATTGGGACCTTTCTGTAAGTCATGGACATATGTGCTGGGAGCGCACAGGGCACGCGCTCTCAGCACATATGTATTTTCTAACTGCACGCAAATATGCGGCCGCTTGGCGTCAAGTCCCAGACGCCGCGAGGCCGCATATTTGTGTGCGCTCGGCGTCAAGGGGTTATGCTTCCACAGGGATTGGTCAGGTATAGCACATACTTACTTTGGTCCAAGCTGGACCAATGTGACTGTGCAGAAAAAGACATACTGAAACTTCTGCTTTAACCACTCGCTGACCATACACTGTAGTTTTACTGCTACAGTGCAGGCTGGCTATGCAGAATCACGTATATAAATGTGGGTCTGCTCTACTGGGTAGGGGGCATGCGTGCACGCCCACCCACCCAGCTGCGCTGTCACTAGTTCCCTTACATGCCACGGAGCGAGTGACAGGAGAGAGATCTGTCTCCCCGCTGCCCTATAGCAGAACTATTGCTAAAGGGTGGCAGGGCTGCACAAAATCACACATATATATATATATATATATATATATATATATATATATATATAGTATGTGATTTTGCTTTTCCGAGTAGGGGGCGTGCACTGCTCTAGCCGCACCACCACTGGTGGCTACAGCTGCCGATCACCGGGTCCTGACCGAAGATTCCCCGTTGGCACCCAGTGATTGCCAAGGAACAGTGACAGGGGAGAGACCTGTGTGTAAACAACACAGATCTGTCCCCTGTCAGCACCGACATTCTGCTTTGTATTGTTCTGCATAGCAGAGTAATACAAAGCAGCATGTTTCCCTAGTAAAACACACACAGTAAAACAGCACATAGTTAACCCTTTGATCGCCTCAGATGTTAACCCCTTCCTGCCCAGTGCGATTAGTAGAGTGTCAGTGCTTTTTATTAGCACCGATCCTTGGGATGTCAGTAGCAGTTAGTCAGTTCCCCCCCAGTGTCTGAATGCCCGCCGCAGTCCCGCTATAAGTCGCTGATCACCGCCATTATTAGTATAAAGAAAAAAAAAATTCCAGTATATATATCGCCATTTGTAGAAGCTTTAACTTTCACCTAAACCAATTAATTTACATGTATTAGGATTTTTTTTTAGCAAAGATGTAGCAGAATACATTTTGACCAAAATCTATGACGAAATTAGATTTTTTAAATTTTTTTACTGGATATGTCTTATAGCAAAAAGTCAAAAATATAGTTTTTTTTCAAAATTGTCAGTCTTTTTTTTGTTTATAGCGCAAAAAATTAAAAATGCACAGGCGATCAAATACCACCGAAACAAAAGCACTATTTGTGGGAAAAAAGGACATAAATTTAATTTGGGTGCAGCGTTGCATGAGCCCGCAATTGTCAGTTAAAGTAACGCAGCGCTGTATCGCAAAAAATGGCCTGGTCAGGAAGGGGGGGTAAATCTTCTGGAGGGCAAATGGTTAGAAAACGGCACATCCCTTAGTAAAACAGCACACAGTACACAACAATAAGACATGTTGGGCACACAGCTAACCCTTTGATTACCCCAGATGTTAACCCCTTCCTACCCAGTGTCATTAGTACAATATCAATGCATTTTATTAGCACTCATCACTGTATTAGTGCCACTGATGATGTCAGTGTCAGTTAGCCAGTGTCATTTTGCCCTCTGTACTATCACTGTCCCATTATAAGTCGCTGCCATTACTAGTATTACTATTAAAAAAAAAGTTCCAGTGTATATACTGTCATTTGTAGGTGCTATAATTTTTTGCATCAACCAATTAATGCACACTTATTGGAATTTTTTTTACTAAATACATGTAGCATAATACATTTTAGCCTAAATTATGAAGAAATCTTTTTTTAAAATGATTTTATTGAAAATGTTTTATAGCAAAAAGTTAAAAATATTGTTTTGGTCTTTCGGATGGTTTTCGGTCTTTTTTTGTTTATAGCGCAAAAAAAAAAAAAAAAAATCCAGTGGCAATCAAATACCACTAAAAGAAATCTGTGAAAAAAAAAAATATATATTTCAGCGTACAGTGTTCTAATTGTCAGTTAAAGTAGCGCAGCGCCATATAGGAAATAAATGGCCTGGTCATGAAGGGGGGTAAATCTTTCAGAGGACAAGTGGTTAACCTGGTCACCTAGTCATATGGTTTAAAACTTTAAAACTTTTTTCACATTATTGTTGCAACTGCTTAACCACCAATGGCAGTATCATTTAGGTTGAAATTGGACTTTTATTATCAATATTTTTTCATCACTGTGTTAGAATGGAAGTTTACAATTTTCTAACCAAAACGTATTTATTTAATACAGGCAGGGGCGGACTGACCATTTGGAAACTCGGGCACTGCCCGAGCGCCCGGGGTCAGTAGGGGGCCCCATGAGAATGCACTGGTACCTTTTTCATAGGCTTTTTTGAGTTTGGGCAAGGACACAGGGGCCCCATGATCCCCTATTGCCCGGGGGCCCCATGTGTTGTCAGTCCACCCCGAATACAGGTATTGATATTTCCAATAATTTACACAGTGCTACATAACGTACATTCATATCAGCCCTTGCCCTCAAGAAGCTTACTATCTAAGGTCCCGATCTTGCATGTACTAGAGCAGGGCTTGAAAATTCCGCTTGCCGCTCGCCAAATGCGAGGGGAAACTCCTGTCTGGCGAGCACAGTAATGCCCTTCAAAGTATTGATGGAGCGGGTGGCTTGCAATGCAAGCCCCAGGCCCGGGGATCGATTTGCATTACACGTGCTCTCCAAGCCTCGTTTTGAAGCCGAGTTCCGGTTTCCGACTTCTTCTCTACACTTCTCTAAGGTCTCCATGTTTTTTGGCATCAAAATAAGCACTTTTTCTTAGGCTAAACTTCTGTAAACTA